TAAAAAACATAGGAAATAGCAAGAGTGATTACAATAGTTCCTATTGCATTAAATGCATAGGAAATAATAATTACCAACTTTTCAATAATGATCATTTCACTTCATTGCTTAAGTGTAATTTATAATATTGCATATCACTATTTTTCTTATTTAAAATAGTGTACAAGTCTACTTTGTGGCAAAACACCTCTAGACCGGGAGCCCAGAAAATTTAATCATGTGAAAAGAGACAAAAGGTTTGATGGTCTGGTCATGACAGTATAGGGCCAAGATACAATATTCAGTATTGCTGCCGGGGCACATCCTGTACAAGCGGGCTGGGGGAAATGAAATAGGGGGTTAAATAATGCATTTAATCATGTGGAGAGAGACATGGATAAAAATAATTGGATATTACTCCCAGGTAGATACTTGCAATAATGTCACAGGTGACAGCAACTTTTACCTGTACGTGACCTTAAACAGTGATATTAAAGGCCACGCCCAAATACATTTAATCATGTGAAGAGAGACACGGATGAATTTTTTTTTATTGGAACTATTATACATTGGGGGTAACAAAAATACCAATGACAGCAACTTTATCCTGTATACATAAGCCCAGACAGCAGCCCCAAGGGACCCACGGGTCTTATGTAGTAGCAACATGATAAAATCAAGCAAAGAGAGACATGAATGACACCATATAGGAATTACTACTTGTGCATTGTAGAATGCTGAAACACCGATGACAGCAATTTTTTCATGTACGTGACCCTAAACAGTGACATTAAAGGCCACGCCCAAATACATTTAATCATGTGAAGAGAGACACAGATGAAATTTTTTTTATAGGAACTATTATACATTGGGGGTAACAAAAATACCAATGACAGCAAATTTATCCTGTACATAAGCCCAGACAGCAGCCCCAAGGGACCCATGTTGGTCTTATATAGTAGCAACATGATAAAATCAAGCAAAGAGAGACATGAATGAAACCAACTAGGAATTACTACTTGTACATTGTAGAATGCTGAAACACCGATGACAGCAATTTTTTCATGTACGTGACCCTAAACAGTAACATTAAATGTACATTAATCATGTGAAGAGAGACACGGATGATTTTTTTTATTGGCACTATTATATATTGGAGGTAACATAAGTACCAATGACAGCAACTTTATCCTGTACATAAGCCCAGACAGCAGCCCTATTTCCTATGTTTTTTATTGTGTGTAGTGTGTAGACATTTATGCAAATGCGCATGCGTCAAAGAAAAGTTTTCCGACAT